GTTTAGTGGAATAATTATTCCATGGACAAAGTTACATGGGAAACTGAGGATGACACGAAGAAAGTGTTTTCAAGTTTTGGTTATGACTTGGATGACATTCTTGAGGAAGGGGAGAATTGAGTTCTATAACCGTATTGCTATATGATTTGAGCTGTTTATTCTATTCTCATTCTCTTGTTTCCATGACCGTATTGTCATGTGAGAAAGTTGTATTGCTTTCTTTCGTTCATTGTTGTTTATCACGACATTGGTGTTGCCGTTTGCACATTTTTTCTCCATGGCCATATTGCCTTGGACTCCCTTCATATGAGGCTTTTTTAGCTTCTCGAAGCTGTCATATGTGGCTGGGTCATGAGGGAGGGGAAAATGACACGAACCACATGAATATTCTAAGAATATTCTATGGCCTGTGGGATTTAAGGCCATAATGCTTTAAGAGTTGGGAGGTTGGCCTAGGGTTCACTCTCTTATTCGTGGATAAAATTGACACCAAGCTTATGCGAAAGCTGAAGAATCAGAAGTACATTGTGAACATGTGGAAGACACTGGTGGAAGCTAAGGTAAGCTGGCTTCTTGTTCAAACCCATTACAACCCAGGATGAAAACTCCATATCAAAGCTTAAGGCAGCATCACTTGTGATTGCCTTCATCTTGCTTTACAAACTGAAGTTATCAAGGTTCGTGATTGGATAATGCTTGATGGTGTTGAGACTCAAATCATCTTTGTTATGGAAAAAACCCCATCTCAAGGTATTGTTTTCTATCCCCATAACAGTGGTGCACTGTTTCCATGTATAGTTCCCGAGGAGGTCCCAGTTCCCAGGATGGCCTTTGGTAAAAGGATCAGGACAATACATCAGAGAGGGAAATACACTGAACTGGATCCTAAGGTTCAACTGGGAGAATGCTCTGCAATACACTAGTTTGGGGAGTACCTATATCTGATCTTATATAGGATCCAGTTCAGTTATCCTGGAAAGGTAATGAGTTCAGTGTGTCTTTTTTTATGTACAGGTCTAAGCATGGCAGAGAGCCGCAGGACAGCATCCCTGTTGGTGATTGGCTCACAGTTCACAAAACTCTGTATTCTATGCAAGGAAAATCCTTGGAGATGCTTGAACACCTCTTCACATGCAAGTCGTCACGAATAGATCTACCTGTTTCTTCTCCTTGCTCAGCATTGAATGGATCTCCATCCCAATGCGTAGAGCTCTCTCCCTCTTCTCGCGGACGAGAGTCATTTGCGAAAGTGTTCTGCATGAAACTGGTGCCCTGAGGCTTCTGGCCGTGTTGCCCCACGAAGTGTTAGTAATAATAATAATAATCATAGAAACCTTGAAAATTATGCATGTACTGATTCTTCAGCTCTTGAGCAACTGATTGCTGCTGGCTCACTTTCTATAATATCAAAGAGAATTTTTTTTAACAATAAACATCTAAGCTGCTGCAGTTAAGCTGTGACATTGTAAAGTTTTAAAAGAAAATGAATTTGAAAAAGAAAAAACAGAAAACACGAGCTTTTTACTACTACAGTTAAGTAATAACAAATTGGGATTTCTAGGGTATGCGTGCGGCGCTAGGGTTTGTGTGGTGTGTGTGACAATCTCATGGAGTTCAGGGATCCCACTTTCTGGTGGGACAACAGGTACAAGAAGAAAAACAAGTTCTTCTCAGAGTCCTACCCGGATTTCAAACATGTTTCTACCGGAGAGAGCCTGTGGATCGCCAACAGGAAAACACCAACCTTGGTCTCTGCAACACTCGAGTCGCTCGCTGACCCAGCTATAGGTAAGGCCACCACGGCCCGCTACAAATCTCCACATACCCCACCTGTAGCTGGTGATGAACCGGTGAGTTTAGGGACGCTGATACACCGCGTGAGAGACTCAGCTGAGAGCAGATCCCTTTCTTTGGGAAAACAAGCCCATGAAGCTGTGCTCAAGAGTGATGAGCACAAAAGCAACATCTACTTGTTGACGGGATTGATCGATATGTACTGCAAGTGTGGCGAGCTTGAGGAGGCTCGCAAGATTTTCGACTCCATGGGAACCCGGAGTGTTGTGTCCTACAACGCGATCATCCAGGGCTGCGGCTCGAACGGGCAACCTGAGCTTGCTCTGGAGTACTACTCTGCCCTGAGAGCTTGTACCACCATTCAACCCAACGATTGGACACATGTCGCGGTGATCAGTGCCTGCTCCAGACTTGCTACCGAATCCAGCGAGAAGAGGGAGAGAGCTCTACGCATCGGGATGGAAGTCCATTCAATGCTGAGCAAGGAGAAGAAACAGCTAGATCTGTTCGTGGCGAATTGCCTGGTAGACATGTACTGCAAGTGTGGCGAGCTTGAGGAGGCTTGCAAGATTTTCCACTCCATGGGAACCCGGAGTGTTGTGTCCTACACCGCGATCATCCAGGGCTGCAACACGAACGGGCGAGCTGAACTTGCTCTGGAGTACTACTCTGCCTTGAGAGCTTGTACCACCATTCAACCCAACGATCGGACTCATCTCGCGGTGATCAGCGCCTGCTCCACACTTGCTACCGAATCCAGCGAGAAGAGGGAGAGAGCTCTACGCATCGGGATGGAGATCCATTCAATGCTGAGCAAGGAGAAGAAACAGCTAGATCTTTTCGTGGCGAATTGCCTGGTAGACATGTACTGCAAGTGTGGCGAGCTTGAGGAGGCTCGCAAGATTTTCCACTCCATGGGAACTCGGAGTGTTGTGTCCTACACCGCGATCATCCAGGGCTGCAACACGAACGGGCGAGCTGAACTTGCTCTGGAGTACTACTCTGCCCTGAGAGCTGATAACACCATTCAAGCTAATGCTTGCACCTACACCTGCGTCCTTGTTGCTTGCGGGAGTGTGATGGCGATCAAGCTCGGGAGGGAGATTCACCAGCTGGCGAAGCATAAAGGGCTGCTGAAAAACGATCCAGTTCTGGGCTCCAGCCTGGTGACCTTCTACGGCAAATGCGGCGATGTTGATTCTGCTCAGGAAGCGTTTGACGAGTGCCAAGCTCGGGACAACACGGGTCTCTGGAACTCTCTCATACAGGCTTACACTCTCCAGGGCCGATCGATCGAGGCCTTGGAGCGTTTCTATTCCATGACTCAGGAGGAGGGCTGTAAAGCTGACGATGTGAGTTTTGTCTCGGTGTTGAACGCTTGCAGCCATGGTGGTCTGGTCGGGAAAGGAAGGCAGCTTCTGGATGAAATGCCCAAGCAGTATGGAGTCAAGCCACGTCTGGAGCATTATGTATGCCTGATCGATATGCTCGGGCGAGCT